AAAAAAAAAAAAAAAAGAAAGAAAGAAAGAAAGAAAAAGAAAAACTTGCATGTGGTAAATTTTCTTTCATTCTTAATAGAGTATAGCTTTATGGGTTTTCACAAATACAAATGTATATGGTCACATATTCACCACCACAGTAACATGTACCATCAAAAATGTCCTCATGTAGACAGACCCCCTAACAGCCATTGCTGTTTTCTGTCCCTCTTATTCAGAATGTCATCTAAGTAGAATCAGAGAATGTGATCTGGCTCTTCTGAATCTGGCTTCTTTCACCTAGCTATGTTCATCCATGTTGTTACACACATCAGTACTGTTCCCTTTTACTGCTTAGGCATCTGTTGTAGGTATGTGCCAGGATTATTTATACATTTCTCTGTTGTCAGGCATCTGGATTGTTTCCTTTGGTAGTTATGAATATATGTGCTATAGAAATATTCATATATTGGCTTTGTGTGAATACAAGTTTTCAGCTCCCTTGTGTATAAACGAGTAGGAGAGTGACTATTGGGTCATATGTAAATATATGCTTAAATTTATAACAAACTGCAAAACTATTTTCTAAGATGACAGTTAGATTTTTTTATTCCCTTCAACAATGAATGAGAGCTCTTGTACCGTATCTCTGCTAGCATTTGATATTTTCAGCTTCTTAATTTTAGTCACTCTGATAGGTATGTAGAGGTGTCTCCTTGTGATTTACTTTACATTTCTTTAATGGTGAGCATTGAGCATCTTTTCATATTTGTATTTGCCATCCATATGTCTTCTTTGGCAATTATCTTTTGAGATCTTTTACAAAGTTTCAGTTGGATTGGCTATTTTCCTGTGTTTGAGTTTTAGTGTTCTTAATATATTCTGGATATAAGTTTTTAATTTTGAAAAATGTACTTTATCAACATTTTTTGTTACTGATTGTGCTTTCAGTATACGTAAGAACTTATTATCAAACCCAGATTCCTTTAGATAATTTTCTGTATTTTCTCTTAAAAGTTTTTAAGTTTATCAGGACACAGTGGCTCATGCTTGTAATCCTAGAACTTTGAGAGGCTCAGATGGATCAGATTACTTGAGCTTAGGAGTTCAAGACCAGCCTGAGCAAAAGCAAGACCCCATCTCTAATAAAAACAGAAAACTTGGGCGGCGCCTATGGCTCAAGGATAGGGAGCCGGCCCCATATACTGGAGGGTGGTAGGTTCGTTCACACACCCTCAGCCTCGGCCAAAAAAAAACTGCAACAAAAACAACAAAAAAGAAAACTAGCAAGGGGTTGTGGCTGGTGCCTGTAGTCCCAACTACTTGGGGGGCTGAGGCAAGATGACTTGAGCCCAGGAGTTTGAGGTTGTTGTGAACTATGATGTCACTGCACTCTACCCAGGGTGAGAGAGTGAGACTCAGTATCGAGAGAGAGAGAGAGAGAGAGAGAGAAAAACTCAAACTTAGTTACGCAAAATCATCGAAATCAAACAACCTTCTACTGAACAATTATTGAGTCAAGAATGAAATTAAGGGCTCGGCGCCTATACCTCAACCAGCTAAGGCGCCAGCCACATACACCTAAGGTGGTGGGTTCGAATCCCCAGCCCGGACCCGCCAAACAACAATGACGGCTGCAACCAAAAAATAGCCGGG